GAAAGAAACTATTAAACTTCATTTAAAAAAAAAAAACACGTGAATTTTGTGGAATAGGAACTATATTTAAGTAGTACTGTTGTCTTTTTTTTAAATACCACTACTTCTAAGTAAGTAGTTCTAAATTACTTACCAGCTGGCCAGCTGGACATCTCTTCCTATCCCCTGGGGAACCTGTCTTCCTCTAAACACCAGATCTTTTGTCTTTTGTATTTCTCCAAACACTACCTAGATTTCTCCTAATAATCCAGACTTAAAACTTTAGAATTTTGGCTGACTAATCTTTCATCTTTCCAAGAACATACAATATCAATATCTATCAATTATGGGGCACCTTCTACATCCAGGCCACTTCAATGTCTTTATCTCCTGAGTTAGACATGATGAGCTCCATTTTACACAGAAAGGAACTGGTGCTCTGGGCCATATTTTTAGTAAAGAGCAGACCTGGAATTTGAGCCCATGTCTGAGAATGAATCGCATCAGAACCCTACGTGCAGTGCTGCCTGCCTCTTTCCATTCCTCTTTCCATTCCACCAGTGGCCAAATCCTGGAGAGACACTCACGGCTAGAACCCACGGCCAGTCTTCTGTTCTCACGCCCGGGCCCCCACTGGGGTTCCTGCTATTTCAGGACTGAGCTCACCACTGCGTTGTTCCTCTCTGCCCAGCTTCCCATCCTTCACCTGCCAGCTCCAACTACATCCTCAGGGATTCCCCTTCCTGTCCCCACTGAGTGAAGGCCCACCTTCAGCTGCCATCCCCTGGCTAACCTCCTACTAGGCCCTTCCAATGTTTTCTTTTATTTATTTATTTATTTATTTATTTATTTATTTATTTATTTGGTATGGGGTCTCACTATGCAGGTTGGACTCTTAATGATCTTCCTGATTTAGCCTCCCCAGCACTGGGATTACAGGCATGCACTACCATACCCGCTTTTGGCGGCTGGCTCGGCATGAGCCTGGCATGGCATGCAGTACCTGAGACTGAACCCCAGTCCTTGTATTTGCCAGGCAAGTGCTTAGACCACTGAGCTTTCTCCCTGGCCCCCTTTCAAAACCTTCCATGAGGTAATATGAGTATCTGTTCAGTTACCACAGAATTTCAGGAGGACTTGGGTCAGCCTGTTGCTTTTTTTTTTTCTTTTTTTTAAAGAAAACCATTTTACACTCAGGTAAAGCCACTACCTCCTTAACTCTTCATTCCTCTGATTGCATTTAGTTTTTCTTCTGAACCCTCAGAGTGACTTGTGGCTGCTTCACCCAGAAGCATTACAATTCTCTTTGACTAGAGGTGCTTGAATTTCCCCCCATTATATTGTAATTCTAACACAAGGGTCCTCCTCGTTTTGCCTTCACATTTTATACAACGCTTAATGCGGCTTTTTGCACATAGTGGGAAGGTCAATTAATATGGCACGGCGCTTGAGTTTATTAATATTTAAGTAGTGATACTCAAATGTTCATCGTAGTGGGTGGCTCTAAGCAACTCTGTAACTTCATCTTGTCTTTCTTTTATTCCTGTAGCTCTCGGTTAACTGAATGTGTTAGCTTTCTATCGCTACAACAAATGCCTCAGATGATCACCTTATAAAGAGAAAAGGTTCATTTTGGCTGAAAGTTTGGTGGTTTCAGGCCATGACAGTTACCCTGTTGCTCTGGGGCCTGTGGGGAGGCAGCTTACTATGGCAGGAGCATGCGGCCCTTCCTGGCCAGGAAGTGAAAATGACACAGAGGCTGGGGTTCCCAGCATTCGCTTTAAGGGCATCCGTGAAGAGACTGGAAGATCTCCCACTAAGCCTCACCCGTACCATTTCCATCACCTCTCAAGAGCCCTAATCTGGGAGCCAGGCCTTCAAGACATGGGTTTGAGAGATATCCTAGATTCAAAGTGTTAACACTGAGCTGGAAAGTTTAACTCAACTCCTGCCAGAGCTGTATTCAGTGATGTTCCTGTAAACAAGTCTCAAGGTAGGAAAGGCAGAACCTGCTTATTGCCCCCTGGCTGGTTTATTAAGTACTGAACCTTCAAGGTTGGTCACAAGCCATCAAGGAGTCTGCCTAGCTAAAACAGGAAAGAATGGTACAAGGCCACTTTGCTGCAAAAGGGTTATCATTGTGGATTATGGGCCGAAAGGGAGTCGAGAGGCGAGGGGAGTAGATTGGAGGGGAGCAGCTTGAAAACCTACTGTCTTTGGGAAGCTGACTGAAATCTTTGTGAAAGCCTCTTTTGGAGTCAGGCCTGGCCTATGGCGTAAAGTTGGCAAATCACAACCTGCTGGCCAGATGTCACCGCCTGTCTCTGCCTGTCTTGGTTAATAAAATTTTACTGGACAGAGGCATATCCTTTTGCTTACAGCTCCTCTAGCATGACAAATGGCTAACATATTTCCTATCTGTGCTGCCACAGAAAATGTTTGCTGTCCCTGGCCTAGGACATGATTTGATGGCCACATCCTCAAGATTTCTGTCTTAATCTATTCTGTTCCCACCTGGGTCTTTAAGTCCAAACCTTAAGGAGAATAAATGATACTTCAATTTTACTTTTATTCCCATGTTTCATATGTAGCTGGTCACAGACATAATCTGATATTTTTGTTAGGAAGGTAATTTGAACATCCTTATTATTAATCTGGGTTTTTAAGTAACTCCAATCTACTTCCCTTTTCTATATAAGCAGGAATAAGAGGATAAATCTGGATGTGATAGGCATTCATGGGCAAACAAATGCCATTATGGACACTTTAACCTCTACACTTTGTCCTAAATGTGCTACTACACTACCCATAATAGATTCTAAAATACTACTATGTGGTACACATGTATTTTAATTAGTTTAACTTTGCATCACGAGGGCAATTGGTTAACAACTGAAATGTTACAGATTCAAGAATATGTTCTCCAGGATTCTTCAGCAAGCATTTTAAAATCCATAACTGGGTGTTTACTTTTCAAGAAAGTTCATCTGCTGACTGGAATTCCAGCGCATGCTAATCGCCATCAGGTACATGAGAAATCATTCCCCGCTCCTGCACCGGGAAGTGTTTTATGGTATGCGCTCTAGGGAGAGTAATGTCCTGGTACTGCCTGCCTTTCCACAACCACAGCACAGGATTTCACTGGGCCCAACATCCTGGGGCCTCTTGGAGTAGGCTTTCTAGTGCTGCGAGCTGAATGCAGAACGCCAAGGCTGGGAGCCGAGAGGTTCGAGCACGCCCTGTTTCTAGAACAGAGGCCTGAAAGGACAGTGAGCTAGGGCTTGGGGCAGCATAGACCAAGGCGAGGAAGAAAGTCTGGGTGCTAATACACTGAGAGTATTCAGAAAGACTCCATTGGAGAACTTAAGACTCTCTTCACAAACCTCTGGATAGGGAGGAGGCAGGGAAGGAACCCTAGAGCTATCACTTACATCTGATGGTCCAATCACTTTAGGTCATTTTCCCAAAGGGCAAAAAAACCACTCCAATAAAACTCTTCTGAGGCTGGCCAGATAACGCAGCAGCCTAAAGTGCCTTCTTAGGCAAGCTTAGGCAAGTGCGCAGGGACCCCAGTTCGACACATGCCACGCCAGCCCCGCCCCCAGTGTGGGCTGAGACTGCCGCAAAAAACCAACCAACCAAACAAACAAACAAAAATCTCTTTTCTATGGCTGTTCTACATTCAGGCAGCAACATAAATGCTTTGGAAATAGCAAATAAATAAATATTTAAAATCAGCTCTAAGGTGTTGTTAACCTGACAGTGCTAAAAATATTTACCGATTATGCACACTGGAGAAAGACCAGATGCTTACACCCATTAAGTGATAAAAACGGTCACTTATTTTAACTTCTAATGGTGTGTACTTCTAATCTGTATTTAATTCTACCTATTATAACTTTTAAAATTTCCCTAAACCTGTTTGTCTTGATAGATCTCTACTGACCCCGGATTCTGTCGTGATGGGGGAAATGTCATTTTTAAGATTGCGTCCTTTTGTCTGCTGTAAGTGCACAGTTCTTTCTGAACAGGCAGTGTTGGAGCTTACCAGGATTTCGGCTGTGATACAACTGATGTTTTCGGGAGATCCCTAGGCCTGTCTGGATGCACCAGAAGCACAGTATCACGTCCTTCCTGATTTCTGGCTCTGACACTGATCACTGCACCCCGACTCTGGCTTTGAAGCTAGGAAGACTCAACCCCTGGAAACAAGGAGGCTGCTTTAGGGAACTCCAAAGGAAAGAAGGATGACATATAAAGAACTCTTTGTGGGCTGGGAATAAGTTAGTTTTTCATGAACAAATTCATTCATCATCTAAAACTCTCCTAGAACTACACGAGACATCGGAGCATCATCATCAGAGCTTCCTAAATAAGTGTAAAACAGAAGAGGGCACTGTCTTTCTGAAAGGAGCAATCTGTCTAAAGAACTAACACAAAACTACTCAAAAGCAGTGCATAAAAAGCCCATTAAATAAAGGAAAAATGTGCCGGGACTAGACTGATGGGATGCAAGGGAGAGTCTGAACGGGGCTTTGATAAGGTTATTAGGGCACGGTGGGTAAGAGTGTGTGCAAATGTGTGTCCTGGAACAAACTCTGATAGACATCTGATGGGGGACAAGACAAAGTGCGGAGGAAGGGCAAGAGGTGAGAGGTGTGGGTCCTGAGGTGAAAGAGCTACGCCTTGCAGCTGTGGCCTCGAGTGACAAAGATTCTCTGTGGGCAAACAGCCCACTCCTTCTCTTGGGGCCTCCTTGCTTCATCCTCTTGTAGGTAAGATGGGCAACACCAACTGAGTACTTTGTTTTTTCCAAACCTTGACTGCAGCCCTGGGGCCAGACCCTGACGATGGAGAAAAATGGGGACAAGATCTTGAGCTTTCCATAAATCTAAATTTACTAAACATAAGGCTGCTTTCATCTTGCAAATCTAGATTTCATGCTTTACTTGGTGTTAAAGTATTTTTCACTTTATTCAAAAGTGGTGGCAGTTGATAGATTTATTTTTTAATGGTTTCACGTGGCAAAATCTAAATGTGGTACAACAAAAGTCTGTATGAGATCACCTCCCCTGGTCAAAAAAGTGCTGGTCAGCAAAGGACCAGGAACACAGCCTCTGGGTGACAGGTTCCAGCTCCCCTGCAGAGAGTCAACTACAGGTGTTGGGGTCCAGATGCAAGTCCATGTGTCCAAATGGCAATTTTCCCAAACAAAGATGAAATCTATTGGTTCCTCTGCTTAAAAACTTAGGTTGCTCAGCTGCTTAGGCTGCACTGGAACTTTCAGTACTCCTGCCTCATCTTCTCAGACTGCCAGGATTAAAGATTCAGCAATTTAGCAAGAACTTGTCATTAAAAGATTTAAAAAGAATTGAGGATGTAGCTCAGGGTGAAGCCCTGGGTTTAGTCCCCAGTACAGGAGGAATAAGTCCCATAAGTGTAAGAACTTTTGCACAGCATCTGTGGCCCTCGTAATTCAGCTCCAATCTCGGTCTCCTGCTATGCTCTCACCCAGCACGCTCACAACTGCCACAGCCACACAAACCTCCACACTCCCTGCCTTGCTGCTCTGCCACCATCTGCTCTGGCTACCTTTCACTCTGAAATCTTCGATCATCTGCCCCACTCCTTTCAAAGAATCAATCGCTCCCACTCCTAAATGTTTGTGAGACCTTGCCTAGACTTCTGCTACTGCCTGCCTATCTTTAGAAGTGTTTGTTTCCATGTTATTCATCTTCCAGGACTGTGACCAATAGCACCTGGCTTCATTTGCGATCCACAAATATTTACTGGACTGAAATAGATTGTCTGATAGTGATCGAAAAGGAACGGTGTCTTATATAACCTTGGTCTTGTAAGTAAAGGATTAATCACAAGGTCTGAATCCTGTCCCCTCCTACCTTCAAATTCCTTCTGCACTGGCTCACTTGTTCCTTAAATTCCACCCTAAAGTTTCACTCCTTTGCTTACAGCTTGCAACGTAAGATGGTGATCAGATTCTCTCCCAAACTCAGGTTTGATGGAAGGCAGGGTGGGACAGAGCAGAGGGGTACCAGGAGGAGGAGCGGACAGGGACAGACCCGGCCTTCAGCGGATAAAGTTTGGTTCCTGTGAACCCCGGAGGCTGTCCGGGGTGAGGTCTTAAGGAGGAGCTGGAAAGCCACTGATTAATGAGACCACTTGCTTGTATCCTTCAAGCTGTTCCGGATGGGAACTGACGGGTCAGCAGGACACAATGTTCCCTAAAGGGCCTCCTGCTCCAGGACAGGCACAGGTTTCAGGCGCCGGGAGACCGCAGGCTGGAAATACTCACCGGATTTCGGGCAGAAGCTAGGCGACAGGACGGAGGGGCTGTGGGCTGTGGTGGGGAGGCCACCCATACGAGGGCTGGGACGGCAGAGGGCCAGGCGAGGGGCTGTGCGAGGGGGCTCAGGGCCCGAGCTCAGCTTCCAGGCCAAGGGTGGGCGGTGGGGCCGGAGGTTCCCTCTGCGCCCCGGGTGCGGGGACTTGGACCCGGGACTTTGGGTAACTTCTCAGTCTCGCCTGAGCCTGGACCGGAGAGTGCGGGAGGCTCCCGCGGGCCGAGGGGGCAGACCCGGCGTACGGGCGTGTGGGTGTGTGCATGAGCGTGGACCCGAGCGACACACACTCACACACACACACTCACACGCCCGCACCCACGCAGGGCCCTCGGCCGCGCCGCCCGCCTCCTCGGATCTGCACCCCGGCTGCCCCCGCCCCGGCCACATCCCCGCCACTGGCTGCGGGACAAGGAGTGGCGGGACAAGGGTCTACAGTAGGGTCTCCCAGCCCGCCCAAGAAGGGATGGGGTCAGGGTGCCCGGGCTCTTACCGCTCCGGCGGCCGAGTGCGCGCGGGAGCGCCCGCCGGTC